TTGTTACTAGCTTAGGTTACATTGTGCACCTTTACATGTTTCTTTCTTGCCTTTACTTCATGTGTTTTAAGGGATAGCATATTTTTAATTAATTATTTATTTTAGTAAATCAAATAATTAATATTATATAATATTTATATGCTTAGGTGACATTTTTTACTAAATTAATGACATTTCTTATTTTCATTAATAATACATTTTACTTCAATAATTCTTATAAATCACTTTTTAATTTTAATTAAACCACCTAATTAATAAAAAAATTTTAACATATACCTTATTTTTCTCATTATAGTTACTCTCTTCGTTTAAATTTAGTAGACCTAATTTCCTATTCAGTGCATTCAAATTTAGTTGTTCACTTTTCTTTCTTCTTCTTTCTTTTTTTTTTTTTTACCTTGGTTGCACAATAAGAAGCAACCATCTTCGTTTAAATTTAGTAGACCTAATTTCCTATTCAGTGCATTCAAATTTAGTTGTTCACTTTTTTTTTTTTTTTTTTTTTACCTTGGTTGCACAATAAGAAGCAATCATCTTTCATCCCTTATCCCACCCTACTTGCATGCTGTGCGATTTAAACTCAAGACCTCTTATGTCCAACGAAGGAAATAACCACTGAATTATCTAAGTCGTTGGCGTTCACTTTTCATTTTTAAAATGTCATTTAATGTATTTATTCATATTTTACTCATGTTTTAAAAAGATAATTACAATATATATTAAATAAGAAATCTTATTTAAATAATATTTAATTAGAGATAAATATGAAATTTTATCAATAAATTATTACATTTTTATTTTATTAGACAAAAAAATTAGGTCTATTAAAAATGAGTGGAAGGAGTATTATGAAAACGTTTTTTTTTTTTTAACCTTTATTTTAAGGGTACTTATTAAAAGTGTAATAAATACATTTTTTTTATCATAACCACTTATATTGGAAGAATAAATGTTAACATTTAATTTATCAATTATCTAATTAAATTTATCTACATGACAGTAATATTAAAATTAATGTCAGTTTTTACATTTTTCAATATAAATTAATGACAAAAGATATCTTTTAAGGCATAAATCAAGATGTTTTGACACTTTAAATGTCAATACTCCTTATAAAATTATTTAAATACCTTTAATATAAATTAACTTGTTCCCTCTAT